TTTCAACCTTGCATCTACACAATAACCCTGCAGCATAGTTTCTATTGCAAAAGGCTTTGTTGCAAACCTGTCACATTCAAATCACATCACTCCTTCCTGTATGTTTTCCATATTCCAAAGAATGTATGAGGATGATGGTTTCCAGGCACCCATTTAAAAGGTTACTTAGAAATCTATGGGTACTGCTGCATCCGTTGTCTTGACTGGTGTGCCTGTGTGATAAATAACATCAATATATATTTTATTTTCCAGTTGTTCAATATATGCAGTGTTGAAAGTAGAGGTATCACTGGAACTCTTATCTTGGGGAATTCTTACTGTATTGACCTTGTTTCCAAATGAATGTTGTGTACTGTTGCCTGGGGCACATGGATGGACTTTTGCCACGGGCTTTTGTGTTTATGAATTCTTATCTGTTACAAGACACAACACTTTGCTTACTACAGCTGGGGTGTAACCTATTGCAGGTCCCTAAGTTGATCCATATTCCTTTGTTTCCAGATGCCATTAAGTACACGAGATATCTCCATCTTTGAAGTTCTAAATCCCCAATCTGAACACATCTTTATGATCTAAGTATATGAATATCTTATATCAGAAAGAAGTTTTACTTACTCTTCCCAAAAGTGATTAAGTTTTGGTGGCTTCACACTACCAATGAAATGCCAAGCTATATAAAAATGTAGTTCTGATACATTCCATTCCAACATGACTTTATATCAGCTATGGAGGTTCAAAATCATTTTAACCTATGTGAATTGTGTTGGTGATTGCACCAACCTCATTTCTGTGAAACTATACATAGCAAAGTTTAGAATAATTTGAAATTTACTAAGTGTACGTTTATGAAGTTTGGTAAGCTTTTAATAAACATTACAAGTATGTTGTACACAAAACATCATAATTTTGAATAAAGTATTTTCTGTGAATTTACTGAGTCACTCTGGTTAGTCTGTGTGCAAGTTGATTTTCATATTAAGAACAAAAATGCTCTTTTTTTTTTATGTTAAGAACAAAAATTCTCTTTTTTTTTCATCTTAACAGTTCTCGTATTTTATTTACATAGCCCCTAGACCCTCGTAGATTAGTACTTTTTTCTAAAATGACTGCAGGTTGTAACAAATAGTTACAATTATCTATCCTAAGCACTTTCAGGCTTGTAACAATTTACATCTGTTTGAATTTAATGTTATTGTTTTATTGTTCTTTAAATCATGTATAAGTAGCATAACAAAGCAATAAATCTCTTGACAACTTAGCATAAGTTACAATATACAGTTCGGAATTACCATCACAGACAACAGTAACTCGCATATGTTCCTTATGGAGAAATTTGGTTCAACTTTCTTATTGAAATTTTCTTATCTAACCTCTCATAAGTTTCTAATTTTTACATATTAGTACTTGTATCTGTGCTGTTTTTGTTCTCCTTTTTCTGTTATAAAAATTGTATAAATGTGTAATTTGTACCAAACTTAAAATCTCATATAGGGTAGAAAGGAAATCTAACATGAGTAATTTGATGCAAAGAACTATCGTGTGATACAGAGAAGTAAAGATTATTCATTTAAGCATATCCTTTAAAAATTAAAACTTATATATTAAAATCTTTATTATAAATTGTGATTTGATGCCAAGTTTATTGACGTACATTGATAATAAAGTTGTAATTATATTTTAAATGTAACTGTGTATAAACGTTGGGGCATGTGCCCTTTGACCCTACCATACAAATAGGGTTAACATAACATACTCAAGCCTATGTAACTTTTTACCATAAGCTATATGGATTATTCGTAAACAGTACATGTCAAAAAATTGTTTTTCTTTATACTAGCTGTCTAGATAGGAGTTATGATCACTTACAGCAGTTGAATAGTGCTACCATAACACTAAGCATGACTTTTAGATATCATGAACACGTTTTCAGGTCCTCAGATGATATTGGCAGTTAAATATAATTATTAAAAAGAACTGAGTGAAAGTAAAGAAGAGTATGTAAACATGTATACATTTGCTGTATCTTGTGATTTTCAGACTGGATGAAATATGATAGACAGATGTAAAAGTGGTTTAGATGCTATTTCTGTTAGCAAACTGCTTAACAACATGTGTTAGAGTTTAAATTGGATTAAGTTCAGGAATTTTAGTTGAATTAATGTTGTAATAACAGCAGTTAAAGAAGTGGTAACACAATTGGTATTTTTTTTTGGCCTAATGTTTCTCTCTAAATTGCTATTCTACAGTCAGAGAGAATTCCTGATATTTTTTGAAAGACAAAATATGACAGGAGGATTTAACTTTCTTGTTTATATCTCGTTAAAGCAAGAAGCTTAGGGGCTATAAATTTACATTATTGCTTACATACAGTCAACCTTTGACATATATATTTATTTTCATTTAGCTTTAATCCTTTTCTAGAATAATGTTGATCATTCAACAAATAAATGCATAGTTTCAGAGAAATCTAACTAATGATAATAACATTCCAATACATGTTCCTGTACCAATCAACATCAAGCATATGTACATATAAATATTTATATAATTAAGCTCATTAGCTTTCTCAGTCCTGTGTGGTTACAAGAACAGTCTACTCAAGTAACATACACTGTTTAAAGGCCTTTTTCGTGTCTTTTGTATGATGTATCTTAGTTACAGACATTTAAAATAAAAAAATAAACTATTGGATACAAAAAATATGTGAACAGTAATGTTTGTAATTAACAGACCACAATAAGCCAGATTTTTGCACTTAATAAGTAATCATGCAGCATACTGATCTCATATTGCCATCATTTCCTAGAGCTAAGTTATGACAGAAAACTGAGATAAACTGTTTTCTGTTGGTTAAGTCTAAGTTGCCCTCTAAAGTAATTGATTTTAATAGTTGCTTACATTTTTTCATTTGTTTCAGTATTTGCCTTATAAATTCAGAGAAATACTTGATGACAGTTACTGTTGTCAAATGATGAACTCTCAGTTCACATCCATCATCTTTTCAGTTTTGCATGTAATTATAATTTGTTACTTATTGCTGAGTTGAAACTAGGAAAATTGTATTTCTCTAAACAAATGATAGTATGTATTTCTTCATTATCAACAAATTTGTCCTTTCTTCTTTGTTGTAATTGTTTCTGTTCTGAAGCTATATATTTATTAATACTTTGAATAGTGCTCAGTCCAGTAAATTGGTGCTCAGATTTTCCAATTGTTGATTATTTTATTTTAGTAAAATTACATATGCATACATTATTTACCAAACTTTAGGGACAGTGGACTTAACGTTTAGTTCATCATGAATTTTTATTAAATATAAAATAATGTACAGTATAAATAGGAATGCCATATTTAATACAGATCAATGTAGTTTTAATTTTAATATGTTTTATTTCAAGTGTAGTTGTTGTAGAATATTTAGTGTTACCTGGGCATATTAAAATGACATTCTGATTCAGTTACTCAACAATCAGGTGAATATCATAAGCAAGCCATGAGATTTAGGAAGATAAATCTTGTTTGTTGCCTTTAGAGTTAAGGTATTTTGTTTTACCTGTTTGATGAAATTAGACATATGGCCTGTATTTAGCCCCCCCCCTCCCCCCATGGTACAGTGGTAAGTAGGCTTGTATTGCTAAAAACCAGGTTTTGATACATGTGGTGAGTACAGCACAGATAGCCCATTATGTAGCTTTGTATGTAATTACAAATGAACAAACATTTTATATTTAAAAGTAAAATTTCTAAAATGTATAAGAATTTCAAAAGCTCTTGAGCAAAGTAGTATTTTATTATAGAAGTATGTTTAATAAAACCATACAAATAGCATTTACTGGTAATGGTAACCAACATTTGGTTTATACAGGTCACATGCATGAAAGTTGCAATTGCTTATAGTAACAAAAGGAGTTTAAAAATCTTACATGCAATATCTTCATTTTTTGGAACAATTTTTATCTGATGGGTCAGTGGTAGGTTTACAGACTTACAATGCTGAAATCTGTGATTCAATTCCCCTGCTTTGGACAAAGTACGCACAGCCCATTGTGTAGCTTTGTACTAAAACAATAAAACTATCTTGTGATTAGTAATTTTTATGAAAACTAGTCCATTTATAATTCTTACCGAAAAAAGAATGCATTTAATTTTAAGTTTTGATTTTTTAGGAAAGCTAAATTAACAATTTTAAAAACCATAAGAAATACACTTATTTTATTTTCATTTGTCTAGTAACCATTATGACATACACGTATGACATTTACTGCTTTGCTTCAGGCTTTCAACTGTGAGTACTCTTTGTTTAGTGCACAAATAATTCAAACTACATGTGCAAAGAGTAATATTGATGTAAGTAATGACTTCATGTTATGCATATTGCTATAGCTGTGTTATAAAGCTCAGTTAATTTTGGTTTATGTTCAGTAAATTGTTTTATATGTATTTTTTATGATAATGGTCAAATATTATTTCAAAGGCAAAAAATTTTGTTTTTTAATTATCAAAAATATAAAGGCTTTCTGAGAGCAATTATTATACAACTATTTTGGTTGCATCTTGTGAATTGGTTTTGTAAAACACAATTCTTTTTTTAGAACTCGTGTATATATATATAATATTATTATCCTTAAAATTTGCCATATATGTTATGTATGTATGTATGTCTAAATTGTATTTTAATAAATTGAGGTAAATATATAAATAATGTAAAAAATAAGGCAAAAAGTTATCTCAAATTGTATTATATAATAACTTAAAATGATAAGATTATAATCTACAAGATAATTATTACATTGATTTCTTATCAACTATAATATATCCTTCAGAAATTGGTGGATTGAAAGTGGGTCAGCTCCTTAAAAAAAAATCCTGGTTGTGCAATTGCCACTAGGAAATCTCTTGCCATAGAAAATAAAAGGTTTATTAGTAGTAAGACAGTTGCTTTTGTTTTCTGCTCACTAGATTATTAAAATAATGTATTGACAGCGATTCTTATGTTATAGGTGAAATATTCAAGGGCCTCATTACTTTTCTATCTGAATTCAGTCCAGAATGATATGGACACTTTCAACTATATATGTGAAACTCTTCTGAAAGTGTTTAAAAATAATTTGGGTAAGGACTATGTCACAATTCCTTTTCTGAAAACTGTGGATCACTTACTTGCTGCAGGTGTATTTACTATTTTCAGTAGTTTAGTGAACCATTCCTTTCCACTGGAACTGTTAGATCTTTGTTGGAAAGAGGTGGCCAAGTCAAAAGATCCTCAAAAAATTATGGCTGCAATAGATGTGTTTTGTGGTTTACTACAATTTCCAGAAGTATGTGGAAAAAGGGCTCTCACCATTCTAGCTATCCATCTTTGTCACCGCTATCCTCGTATTCGGAAAGTAACAGCTGATAAAATCTATGAAGCTTTAATATCTTACCCTGAAATTACAAGTGAGGATGCAGCAGATGATGTTATGACCATTCTCAGTGACACTGAGTGGGATGTGAATGTTGAGGTGTTGCGACCAATTAGAAACAAACTGTGTGAGCTATTGGGAATCCCAGCTCCAAAGAGTGTGAAGTAATTATAAATGTTTCCTTTATGAACATTTGCTATTCTTTAAAAGTTCAAAGCTTTGGCTGTTTTACTTTGAGATAGCTAACCTGCTTACTGTCAATAAAGATAATCTTTAACAATGGGTTTAAATGAGAAGACATTCCATAATTTACAGTACTAGTTTTAGCTTGCAGTACAATAATATTAGCTAAGTGTACAATTATATAAATGCTGACAACTGTTTTGAATTGTAGTCATACCCAGTAATAAAAATTAAAGTATATAATGAAAATTGCCTATAAGTGTGATGATCATTGCTTGAATAATATCTTATATTGTATGCGCAGTAGCTTAACATATGAAAAAATAAAAAAAATATATAACATCATGACTTCCTACAGATATCTACTAGATTTAACAAAGATTGTATTGTTACTACTTGTCTGTTATTATTTTACTATAGTGAAAATACTAGAACTATAAAAAATTATAAAGAAATCTATCACAGTACACAATAGCGTAATATCGGTAATGTTTGAGCTTGTTGACTAGATGTATTAACTTTCTTTTTGTTATTAGTAAAATTAAATTTCTCACTTCAGCTCATTAAAGACAAAAATGTGATAGATTTTCAAAAATGGCAGTTGATTGGCCCAACTGCAAATGTGAACTTTTTTTAATTACTGTCCATTATTTAATTTACTTCATTATTAAAAATAGTAGTTTTTAAATATCTTTTTTTTTATCTAGTTGGCAAATTGAAATTGGTCAAAGTTATAAAAAAATAATGAAATCAAATTGGCAACATTGCAAGAAGTTGTGGGTTTTGTTTCTTATTTGAATATTAAATTGTTGTATTTCAGTAACAGTGGTAGATTTAAAGAAAATGGTGTACGCTTGTGTGGTGTTTGGGTGTTGTGCTAAAGCTGACTGATTCAGAATTCTTCATGAATTTCCATATGAAGGAGATTTTAAAAGGTGTGCCTGGCTTAAAGTGTTTATAGAATGTAGTATTCAGGGTTTTGCAAAATATCTTGTGCCAAGTAATAATGCTGTTCCAACCACTTACCCTGAAGATATCTGCACTGTACCAATGAAAGATGCCAATTGGCATACAAGGATGAGAGAAGGATGTGATGAGAGAGGTGTGACAGGAAATCTTTATTTAAATAAAGTTGTATAATCAAGAAAGCTATGAGTTAAATAAAAAGTTTTTGAAACAATTTACTAGCCCCATATATTGATCATGTACTCATTCCAAATAAGCAACACAGACTTTCACAGTACCCTGATTCAAAACACCTAAAAAAAAAAAGACTCAAAGATGTACAGCTTTTGGCTGAACTGTATTTGTCTCTCTTGAATTTGAAAGTAAAGTAGTAAAGTGAGTGAATTGTTGTGAATTATAGCGTGTGTTTATGTTAAAGTAACTGTGGAAATTAAGTGTATTGCAAAGTTGTACTGAAGAAGAATAAACTAGTTTTATTTAAGAAAGGACTTGTATTGCAGGAAAATTAACAAACGAACATACAGAGACGTAACAATATTGAAACCATTCTTACAATGTAAATAAATGTTAAAATGGAATGGCCCTGAGCAAAAGTAGCCTCTCTTTGAGAAAACTGTTAATCAACATCAAAACAACATTTTAGGAGTTTCAGTAAGATTTTTTAAACAAAAGATTGAACTCTAATATTATACAAAGTTTATATTAAAATTAGTTTAGTGGATTTTCCATTGTTCAAAATTGCCTCCAAGACATGGCAAGTTCTGTATGATTGACCTCTGTATTTCCTTTTTGAGTTGAAAAAGTATTTAGGCAAGTCATATTATAATATACTATTTTTTACTATTACACATACTAATTTCTCTGTTTATTACAATGTGCATATAAGATTCGGATATTGAAGCTCAACAACTTGTATTCAAGGTTTTTAATAGTACTATTTTGACAACTTTTGTTTGGCACATTATCAAAAACATAAGCTGATAGTTATGTCTGCACACTATCAATCACCCAAAATAAATAAAAAAGGTTGTGCCATTTTTAACTTAAAAGGAATAATCTAACTAATGAAGAAGAAAGTCTTCATAAACTTTTAAGTATAACTTACTTTCAGTTGATCTGATTCTGTGTATTGTATGACATTTTACTATATAATTGATACTTGAAATTATGAAACAACATAATTAAAGAATTGAAGAAAAAAGCAAACACAATTGTACCTTTCAAGAAAACTTTATTTATTTACGACCATGGTTTCTCCAGTAAAACATCATCAGGTACAGACTGAAATGCCTTGTAAACAAGCTTATATATAGTTTAAACAAAGAACATGAAGTAACCTTGACATTCACCTTGAGACAAGTGGGGAGGAGCTAAAGTTGGTTTGATCGTTTAGAGTTTTTTCTATATTTGTTTTTAGACTTCTATTTATTTCTAAAATTTCCAGGCTGTCTAGTTTTTTTACCTTTTTCACAGGTATGTAAAATTTTGACTATTCGTACAATGTTATCTAAAATTCATGTTTTTCCAAGCTGTTACACCTTTAGAGAAAAATTATCACCAACTATTACAAATTAACTAATATAGTTACTGTAGTTTTAAAAATATATATATTAGGTCTAAATCTTCATATTAATTCTTTTACACGTAACTGTTATGGCTTGTCCGTCTTTATAACACCAACAGTGCTTCATACATGTGATTCTGCATATCTATTAGAATAGTGTATCAAAATTTTCTGAGTCCATAGAACTAACAGTAATGTTAAAGAACTAACTTAATATTATTGTATTTCCTTTATTAACATATAATGTTATTTTGGACAGAGCTGGGAGATAAGTGGTATTTACTGATTGATTGATTAATCAACGGGCTCATTAATTGATTAGTATACCACAACGCCTATAACTCGTACAAGTTTTATGGAAATTTCCAACTTTAGGGCTAAATCGCTGGTGTCGACTAAGTATGATACTGTTACGTCTCCGTTTGTTTGTTAACTTTCCGTAACTTCGTTCCGACGAAACTTTAGCGACACAAGTCCTTACTCAATAAAACTGGTTTATTCTTTCCGAATACAACTTTATGATACACTTATTTTCAACAATCGCTCTATAACAAACGCTATATCAACGAACGTCAACAATACTTCTGACTGCAGTTCAATTACTCACTATCTACACACACATTGTTCTCCC